CAGAGTTACCAAATGAGTTCCAAATTTTATCATGGAATGTAGTATACTGTCATAATTATACTTGATTTCAATATTTAGAAGAATTTTTTTGATAATAGTGTTATTGATGGTAGTCATAGTTCTATTTTATTAATTTTTTTCAATGTTTGATTCATTTTTTTCTATTTGGCGTTCTAGGCTATTTGAAAATGAAAATCAGATTATTGAGACAGAGGAGTATTTATTTATACACTTGAAAAGTCAAAACAAAGTTCTATCTTACATAAATATGTGTATATATAGGTCAATCCGGGAACTTCATTTTGGGACAGAGAAAGTATTTATTTATGTCATTATCCGTTTTTAGAGTTGAACTTTCTTCACTATTTAGTTTTGAATTTTATTGGCATAAAGTATTCGACGATGGATGATTTTCACCAAGAGCGCTTCATCGTATACATGATTTAATTTATATTTGAAAGACGAGTACTCTTTAAGTCAATTGTAATGAACCCATTTTAACATCTCTAAGTGGTGCTCTAAAGCTTATTCAATTTACTTGATTGAAAGTACTAGGTAATTTATCTTGAGAGTTCTATTTCATCTATATGTAACACCTTTTCTGATATTTTATAACCTCAAATGGAGTAATTTTCTTTGTGGTCAACTAATATTTTGGTGGACTTTCTTACCTATTATAGTTTTTGAACTGTTAAATGTCAACATCCTTAACAGGGACAAGTTTCAAACATGTGAGCTCCTACTTGAGAGTGTCGTAGTGATGTCATTGAACCACAAGGTGTTTGACGAAATTGAAGTACCGTTTTATGAGAAATTATTCCTATTTGTTTTCTTTTTAATTTATCAAACAGTCCTCCAAAGTAGGTTCTTCAACTTTTTGAATCTCTGTTTATTATCATTTGTTTGAGAAGGATAGTAATTTAATTGTCGTAATTAATTAAAATTTTAGTTCTTACTGAAACTTCATATATTTATAGTCATGTTCAGTGTGATCATCTCATATTTTTTGCTTTAAGCATTGAAAGACTTTGTTTTATACTCTAGCTGTATGTAAAACGACTAATTTACAATCATTTACTTAGTATAATTTACTAAGAGAACAGTTAACCCGTGCGGATGCACGGGTACCGTACTAGTTACTATATAAAACAATAGATGTGGTCATGATGACATTCTTGATGATCCTTTCAAATATGGACAATTTTTCATTCATTCTCACTCCCACACTTTCAACATGTTTTAGTTTTTCGTGTAATTTTCGCTTTCTATTTTTCCGTTTGACACTCTAGATTTGTCTTGTGACACACTAAACAAAATTTGTGTTATCATAGTCAATTATTACTTTCTTCATACTATACCAATTCAATGTTGAACACATAAGTGCATTTTTTAAATAATTACACAACCACCTCATGTTGTAATTTTAGGGAGTGGAAGCAGAATGTTATATATGCATCGAATTTGAATTGGGTTACAAGATAAACATTATCTATCAAATTATGTCACTCACAACTAATGTCTATGCGAATAAACACACAAAGGAAAATATGTAGGTGTTTCACGAAAAGACATTGATTTGTAGCGCATATAAATAACTCTCATATGTGTGATGAAAATTTTCTTTAAAGCTCATAGCTTATTTAAATAGACGAGTATTGTTTGTAAACAAAGAGATTACTTTACACGATTACATATAATTTATGTGCATGCCAATGTTTATAGTAGACTAATTAATATACATAAATTGTGTTGGACAATCATTAGTTGTACGTGGTAGGATATCAGTTGTCTTTAAAATTGAATATTTTTTAAAAGTGTAAATTGAGTATAAGCTATTGTGTATATCAAGTATTTTGAATTACTTTTAGTTATGTATTTGAATATGGCGTGATTATAAAATATAATCTAGCATGACTTAATATGATCTAGTTTAAACACTAAATAATGTTGTGTCAGGGTGTTGCGAGAGATCGAATTTGTAGTTTAATACATTATATACGTCAGGGTTATGTCTATAAAATAGTCCAATTATAATTTGCAAATATAATGGATATCACAATTTATCAATTACGAATGGACAACGCACAAAATCATAGAATAATGAAGACTTAAAAAGATGTTGAAACATTATATCTTTCAACAATTTTGAAAACTTCTTCATAAACGATTTCTAATATCTTGTGAAAAACTTTATTATTTGTGAGAAAGTTAATATCTTTACTCCATTGTTTGTGTTGATACTCGATGTATACGAAGTAACTTACAATTGATTGTGTCTAAATTTTTCTCAAAATACAACCCAACCTCATATAATGGTTGATCTTGACTTTTTTCAATGCTCATTGCAAAGCACACTATTATCGAGATCCATAACTGTTTCCTTTAGAAAGTGATGGTTGTAATGACACTTTGATCAAGTAAAATGTGCCTCATATTTCTTTCAATGTTTATTTTTGCGTTCAACACAAGTTTTCTCATATCGGCAATAATATTAAGTATAAAGATATTTTTATTGGACTAGTTTCAATCTCAGACTAGACCATACCAGACATAAGCAAACCCGAATAGACTTCGTTAGTTGTAAAATACATAAAGACATACATCTACCAGACTAGACTCGTTCAAATCGGACTAGATCATAAATTACAGTCTGCAATTAAAACATCCTAACATGATGTTTTGGTTCGATTAGTCTACTTCACTCGAATATGTTAGAGAATTTTTATGATGTCCAATTATGTTTTATATTTGTGTATTTGTGTTGTGACATTTTAATTAATAGACAGTGAAAAACTTTATATTAGGGCCTATATGTCTCTTTCATAGGCTAATATTGTAACGGGTCTAACCCTTAGAACCATAAAGTCTGAGGCTAGGCACGTAAACCCTAAGAAATGTAGGTAGCAAAGTAGGCCTTCACGCACATATTTAGAGAGAATAGAGAGCATTAGAAGTTTTCATATCTTGTACTGAAATTCTTCATCATTCTTGCATTGAATCAGAACTTCATTTCTTCTCTATTTTGTTCATATCATAGTTTGATTGTTGAAAACTGTTTTATCAATTCGTATCACGGCCGAGGCTTGAAACATATCGATTTTATCTGCATTTTTTGAACCTATCATTGATGAAGAAGACCTGATACTAAGAAACTCTTTTGGAGATTTGATCGCTTTGTCATTGACGTTATTCTATGACTTTTGGAAGAAAAGGACCAAAATCGGCTAATATCTTGTTGCTGGAGAAACTTTATAATCGCCGGTTGTGGATTCTACGAAATTGTGTGTCATCATTCACATGCGCTGAATTAACTAAAAATGGGTTCCTAAATCAAAATTGCATTCATGTAGCTCTCCCAAGGCTTCAAAAGAGACAACTTTTTTACGCAAAAAGAGACTGATTTAGGAACAAAAAAAGAAAATCAAATTTGTTTTGAGCAAAAAAAAAAGGGATAAACCTACCCTGAAATGGGTACTAAGGGTTTCTTAACCATATGTAAGTCTGTCATGTGTTGCATCTGATCTTGTTGCTCCACACACGTGGTGAGTATGATGAGTTATGAGCAATCAACCAGTGCATATTATGAAAGAGAGTATTGGCATGTATGCTCATTTACTACCTCATGCACTGAGCGGAAAATCATCAAATGCACACTTCAGGGGGTTCATTTTCTCCTCCTAGGACCCAAAACACGTCAAACAACAAGTGCGTATTCTGATGGAAGTGTTTGTTTTAATTTTTCACTCCTCCTAATGCCTTATCAGAAAGAAAGCACATTTCAAGGGGGTTTTCTATTTTACACCCCAAGTGACAAGCAACACCACTCGCACATTCTGAGGGGGAGTTTTCATTTTTCTCCTTCTGGCGCCAGACGATGTACAATATAATGCAAGGATTATCTCAAGAATGCAGATATTGGGGGGGGTCAATTTCTCATCCCTGGTGCCAAACAATGACAAAGTATACCGAGTGTTCTGGTTAAGGAGGAACAGAAAGAGAAAAGAAAGAAAACATCAATGAGAAACAAGTCACAATGATTTAGACATTTAGTAAATCTAACAAAGCCTACGCAATGGATAAAACTGAGAGTGAGTGAGTGAAGGAGTGAAAACTATAAGAGAGAGGAAACAGAAGGCTCATGTGAGCAAGAGAACAATAATCAAAGATAAGTCCCCTACCTCAAATGCGCTATCAATCGAGGAATCAATCATAATCACTCAAATACTCCAAACAATCCTAATAGGTTCAAGAGTGAGTTGACTCGGATCCCGGGTAGAAGTCATTGCACCTTGTCCACCGACGCATGCACAAACCTACTCTAGACCACTCATATGTCTCCCAACAGACAACCGATTAATCACATTCATGGGCAACCTCATCTTTTATCATTGTCTCCTTCAGAAAAGACTGATACATACTACAACCAAGCATTCATGTCCAGCTGGTTGTGAGATTATCGTGTCTAGTGGAAGATCTCGAGTTCGAAACCCACTATCCACATAAGGATTCGAAACTCAATGGAGTGAGTTTCAGCTCTGATTACTTCAGGCCCCTCCCCTAGACCCCTGGAGTAGATAACATGCAAAAATAACATGATCCACGAGTGCAGACGCCGGCGGATCCTCTGCCATCAACTCCTTCATCATCTTCATCTTTGAGACTCAGCCTGGCGTACAAATCTTCCACGTCACTAGCCATGCAGATAGAATAAAAAAGCAAGTGTCGGATTGTCGGAAGAGCCACGTGAACAGTAGAACGAAAACGGTGAATTGTAAATTGTTTAATTTAACCATTATTATATAGCTCGTATATTGTTTAAAATTACTACGTATATACTTGTAAAAAATTTAATGAATTGTTTCAACAACCAATATTGAAACAAATTATTTAAAAGTATTTCCATATTATAAATTAATACTACGTATGATTTATGAATAACTAACCGTCAAAGTTATCAAAAATTGTTAAATTGTCCTCAAAAGTCAAGTGATGTTTATTATGCGATCGATGTAGAAAAAAAGACTAATTGGACCTCATTGGCTCATTATCTTAAGCGACAAAGTGCAATGGAAAAATGCTTTGCAAGTATAGTTGTTAGTTACCCACAAGGCCACAAAGTCCACAACTCCACAGACCACAACATAAATATTTTACGTACAAATATTAACACTGTGAAGTGAAAACTAAAATTGAGTCCATAATCAGTAGTCACATGATCAGTTGACACTAAGTTAAACATCAGAAGGCAGAAGCTAATTCCTTTTTACTGAACTCAGAAGCTTGCATCTTCTGTTGTTGGTCTTCTGAGGAAATAGCGCAGGCTGTTTTCAAGAACCTGAAATGTCGGTTTGAAACCGCTAGTAAATTATACGTAGAACTACGTAATTGTAATTGTATGTTCGTATGATAACTCTAATAACTCAAAACTATGATACATATTGTTAACCTGTTGAAGGGGCTTGAAGAGAGCTTTACCCCTGTAGCTGGCATGAAATTTTGCTTTAGCCAGCAATCCCTGATGAGTAAGTACCGAAAGAAAATCAGCTTAAAGTCTTCATAATATAAAATCTAAAGATTATCAGTCAAAATGGTTTGCATTTTGGAATACCAGTTATGACTTTTGACGAGCCAAATGTCCAATATTACTAAACAATGCTCATGGTGAAAAATATGACTACTTTTTATATATTCCAAAAAAGGACTATATGTGCCACTTCTTACGACACTGCACGGCCATTCGTGATACTGCCCCACATCTCAGTGTCACTAACTCGATGAGTTTTCCCAGCAACTTTTCCAAGGAAATTTCATAGGCCGGCGGCAGACAATTGGAAGGTTCGTGTGGTAGACAGAGAAAAATATTGGGATGGAATCAGGATCGGGATAAATTAGTCCTAGTTAGGTCACTTTTCTGAAAATTTTAAGACATATTTTGTTCATTGAAAAGCTAGGAGGTATATTTTGGTTTTTAGGTAATCCATTCATAATATATTTATATAGTCTATACCTCTATAATGAAATATCATTTCAAAAGTATATTATCAGTCAAAGTTAACAAATTTTGACTCAAAAGTAAAATGAGGAACTTTAACTAGGCATGGAAGGAGTCTCTTAATCCATGTTAATCCATACCTGATCTCACAATGTTGCAATATAAAAAACAGACACTATATAAGCATTAGATGAGTACTAGTACAGTAAGCATCATTGTTTATAACTTAGTGTTGTTACCTCAGTTTCAAATTCTCCAGACTCAACATCAATGTTTATGTCAGCAATGGTCTTTACAAGATCAACTAATAGTCCAGGTCTATCTACTGTCTCTACTCGAAGTAAGCTGTATAAATATAAGACAAACATGTCTTAAATCATCCATTGAATGCACACAAAGCTTTTGCAATGATTGCATCAAAACCACTTTAATTTAAAACAAAAACTAACCTCCGTTCAGGGCCGTCATCGTACACATGAACATGGGTCGCTATATCCACATCAACCTGATCATTTTGTACGAAACACATCAAAAGATTTGGACTTGTGTGGATAAAATGGCAGTAGTGTAGCCTCTTTGTTATGGGATAATAGAGTGCAAGTTCGTTGAATATTAGTTAACAGTGATGTTTTACATGATTTTTCTATTTATATTTTTGGGTTCACCCCCCCACCTCCCGCAGAAAAGACTGCTGCCACACCCTTATTGTCCGTTGATTATTATGAGAGTGACACTTTTAATACTCTTTTTGAACTTCCGAATAGTTAAAGGACCGTAAGTGCCACCATCCTAATAGACAAAGAACCAAAAATGAAGTCAAGACGGTGCTAAGAGACACTCCTGATTATATATTTACATGCAAGAGACAAATGAATTAAGCACAACAATAAATTTGTGGACCTTCGTATATGGTTGAAAAACACCAAACGCCTCCCCCATTGCTAACTGCGAGCTTGACTCCTGTTCCAGAATTTAATTGTAGATTAAAATGTATCCTAGGAGTTTTACTCATTACAAAGATCTGCTATACAAAAATACACTACTCGTTTCATACTGGGTGGTACTGAAGCATATTGTTAATAATAGTCAAACGTATAGCCTCAAGCAACTCTGGATCCTCAATTTTCTTACCTGTATAACTATAAAGAATACCAATACATAATTGTCAGAGAAAAAGAGGCATCACAAGCAAGTAGACAAATACTTTGAAGCAAAAGAGTATTCTGTTTGTTAGATAAGTTTATATAAATGTACAACTTTTGTTACTTCACATGGTTGAATATTACCAGGCCATATACAATGTCAATTCTTACTACTTACTCATTAACTCCGCCCCCTTATTTTAGGGCCTAGACTCTGAGTAGGAGGTTCAGTGGCCATGTTGAAGTTTCTGATCCATGGAATTCAGAACATGAGAAGTAACCTTTTATTCTTAAGACTCATATGGGTATCATAACCTTTTGTAATTTTAAAAGCTATGTGATACAAGTTGTATGGTAAACAAATAAAAATTAGCAGTATTTATATTATTCATGTTAATTTTGAAAGCTTCTAACTTTATCTGATATCCATAAACTTGCTTCTAATTGGAAAAACAAACTGAAAACGATGCAGATGAGTAGGCCCTAAACTACAAGATCAGAAAGACTAGTAAAGTGATCATAATTACTGGTAAAACACACTGCATTGACTTACAGTTCAGTAATAGCAAACTTGTTATGCCTTCCTGATGAATCTAGATAAGTGTTTGCTTTAACAACGCTCAGTCCAAGATTTTGCAACGCACTCATCTGAGACATTTTTTGGTGAACTAAGATATGTATTCTTCAGGAAAATATGTAAAGAACGAATTCAGTTTTATAATTCGATGTATGCAAAATAAGAAGCACTTGCAAGTTGCAACAACGTCACATTGAACCAGGAGAGGGTTATAGAGGACAAACTGTATCAAGCAGTGTCCCGAGGCGGTCACCAAAGGTAATCTCCACTAGAGTTGAATCCGGATCAGAATCAAGATCTATCATCACTTTGGGTGTCGGGATGTCTGCAATCGCTGAGAAACTCTTATCCTAAGCATGAACAAGCAAACCGCAAAGAGGCAAAAATCAGGATTAAGTTAGTGTAAATAAAACCCATGAAAATAAGCAAATTCTAAACACCTCGACAACAGCTGAAGGTGTTTTAGGAATGATTGTACTTGCAAACAATCCCGACCTGTCATAGGATACATTTAGATTGAATTCCAAGACACTTTCACCAACTAAACACTACTAATCTCAAAAGTGTTAAATCATCCACTTATGTCAAATATAAATAAAATAAACACACATATAAGATCTATCCCAACCCATCTTTTTAAATAATTCCCTTCAAATGCAACCCAAGTTAGAACTCGTTTAAGCGAGCAATTCAATCGGATTAAAACTCAAAAAGAAAAGACATTGATTTTGACATTGTTTTGTTCCAATGAGCCCCCTTCTTGTCTTGTGGATGCATGTTAAGACTTCCATATTGACAAAGTATCCTCCTAATCTTAATAAAAAGGTATCCAATTTAGGTGCTACAATTAAAAAAACTGATCTTTGTGATGTATGAAAATGCTCAATTTCTTCATAGAAGAGCTTGATTATAACATCCACCACGCCATAAGTAAATATATTGCCAGAGAAATGGAAACTCGGTATCTCAAAGAGATCATGTTGTAAAGAACTCAATTTGAACCAATTTCCTCATTTTAACTACCAGGAAGTGCCCTGAAATTACCCAGAGATTATTAAAATTTCAAGAAAACGATATATTTGCATTACCAAAGCCAACATAAAACAAAAGAAAAATTAATGATGATAAAACTCAGGCGCAGGAGGGGAAATTTTACCTCCTGGGCGGAATGCAGACACTGTGAAATGGATCCACAGCAAAAAAACGTCTGGAAATACCATGACCAGATAAGGCTTGCTTTTCAGTTACTTTCAGACCACCGCAAAGCCCAGAAAATTTCCCACAAGAAGCCATAGCTACAGACATTCCTTAAAGAAGAAGTGAAGAACTGTGAAAAGAAAAAGGGTTTCAAGTATAAAAAAGCATTGCAGGGATAAGTGTAACAGGGTAGCGTTGCTTGTTTCAGTAGAATACGCCATTATTATGACGAAGTTGTGAGGAAATAAGGAAAGTGGAGACCCACGTATTCCGTTCCTTATGATATCGTGAGGTGTATTATTGCCAAAAATATTTTAAATATTCAAATTTAAATAATTTAAGGTATTGTTATGGGCAAAAATAATTTAATATTCTAAATTTCAGTGGTAAGTATTCTAAATTTGAATTTTTTTATAATATATGAAAAACACGCTGAAGTTTATATAAAAATTTATCTTAATAGGAATGTAAACTTATAGTGTTAAATTTAAAAGGGATAAAGATCAAAGTAAACACTATAATTATATGAGAACTTCATATTGGATATTAGGGATTCAAATTGACCAAATTAGATACTATGGTTACATTTGTATCTCATATTGGATACTAAAATTTCAAATGGATCAAGTTTAATGTTCTAATTTTTTGTGGACACCCATCAAAGATTTTCACCTTTGAAAGCTACAATATTCATTTCTCCCTTTAATTTGTTTTATGTACCTCAAAAAATAACTTAATTCTTGTATTTAGATTTAGAATATATAATTAGATGTTCCAAGTAAGAAAAACTATTATAATGTAGTTGAATTGTTTAATATTGTTAAATCAATTTAATAAAACAATATTTCCCAAAGTTCCATAAAAATCATATGGATGAAAGATCCTAAATATATTTTTAAATTGTTAAATATATGAAATTATTAATTAATATAAAATTATATATAAGTTTAACGCCGCGGCTCTCCCTCTTGGTAGGGTTTTGAACTTCCACCGAGTTTGTGCGGTCAGGCTTGGCAATCGGAAGACAGTGTGAGGTTATGGCGACGGGCGAATTCCAAGCGCATATTAGCGTCGAACAAAAGGACAAGGACGAACTGGTGATCGATGATGATGAAGAAAAGGCGGAGGAAAACCGCTTTGGTGCGTCAACAATCATAGTGATGGTCGGGCCTCCTCCTGAACCACCACCAGGGGTTGAACGGGGTGCTAGGGTTCAAGAAATTTATTTTGCTTGCTTTGTTTTTTTGTTTTCTTCATGCTTTGTTTTTATTTAGATCTTTATTCTGTTTTGGTTGTGATGTGTTTTTCAAATGGATCAAGTTTAATGTCCTTCTGATCTGTTTTTGGACACCCACCAAAGAGTTTCACCTTTAAAAGCTACAATATTCTTTTTCCCTTTGTTTTATGTACCTCAAAAAATGAACTTAGGACAGGCGACGATGAGTCTGGTTTGCAAGTCATTGGCTCAGGTAAGCTCAAAGCGGGATCATCGAATTATATTGCTTCTATGGTGGTGATTAATTCTAAGTCTGGTTCTAGGGCAAACGGTAGACAGAAGACTTGTTGTCACTTTGTAACCTGCTTTCATTCTTTTATGATAATTTAAGCAGTTTCGTTCAAAAAATTAATATAAAATTATATATTCTAAAACCTCAAATTAATTATTCCAAATATATATACTACGTACATAAATTAAATTACTTTATTTTCATAAAAAAGGAAAGAAAAAATAAGACTAATGATTTACTCCGTATAATGGAAGAAGAGAATCATAAGTGAGTGTCCAAAAACTATTAATTATGAAATTTTAGTGTCCAATATGAGATACATATGTAATCATAGTGTATAATTTGATCTATTTGAAACCTTAGTGTCCAATATGAGATTCTCATGTAACTGTATTGTCCAATACAGAATTAAAATACTTTGGCCATTTATAATAATTAAATTATCAATCTAAGCTTCGGTATTTAAAATAAATAACATTAGCAAATAAGTTTATAAAATTAATTGCAGATTAAAAAATGCGTAGAATATTTAAATTATATACTTAACACTATAATAGTGAAAGAAAAAATGTATGATCATGGTGTTAATTTTTTTAATCAAATTTAAAGTGACTTAACTCAAAAAATTTCGGGGTGCTTAACTCAAAAGTTCCGAATATTTAATTATTTTATCTATTTTTATTATTTATCACGCTAATTATCCACATGAGTGACTCACTATTTTGTAAGCAATATTTGTCTGTGGTGCTGATCGTGTGGCTCGTGGGTTTGGATATGTATTGTCCAAAACTAGATACAGATGTTTAATTACAACTTCGTATTCAAATTCTAATTGAAAATGTTTGATAAGTTTAAATATTTCTTTCTCGTCGGACATTAATTACTATTGAAATTTTAATTAACATCTAGCCATCAATCTATGCGGATATATATAATAAAATTGGACGCATTTATTATTAGTTGTTGGCATTGGAATATACAAATTCACATTAAATTTTTTTGTTAGCGGCAATCCATTCGAGTTAACCCCGAATTGATGAAATTCTCTTGCAAAAAAAAAAAAACCCCGAGTTGATGAAATTCTCTAAAAAATAATCGGAGAGATAATTATATTATTGAGTATATTTGTTTGACTTTAGTACTATACTAGATTTTCACCCGTGCTTCGCACGGGATGCAGGTAGTAAGCAATAAAAAAATTGAGAACATAAGGAAATGTTGTGATAAACAGAGATGAATGTATATATTGTTTGTAACAAAAGTAAATAAATACAAAAAAAATACAAATTATTATATACTTCCTTATAAACCACATTTGAAGTCTTCTTGGCCGGTTTTCCATCATCATCACATATAACAAACTTCAACCCAGACGGGGACGTCACTTTGAATCTCTTTCTGATGGAATCTTATGAATTGCAATCGATATGACTCGATCATTGTATATCCATCAACCGCAAAGTACTGCTGAAACAACCTTTGACATCTCAATAGATATGGGGTTTCACCTTGGCGTTCCTGCAACCTGTATGAAAAAAAATCTTTCATTGTAGCAAATTTTCTCCCTCTGTTGCTATTGATATCCCCTATTGCACGCGTCAACCGAACGTCTTCTCTAAAACCATCTTGACCGTAAGGAAATAGTAGTGGGTATTGTAAGCCTAAAAACAAAGAGTTCAGTTCAATCACAAACTGAAATGCCCCAGATTTTGGTTGCAGGACAATATCTCTCTCTTTTCTATTCACGTCAAAGTCCCCCTCAATTAAAGCCGTTACTTCAGAAATGCTTGGAGCATTATACGTGCGTCCCTCTGAACTCCGTTTCATAATAAGTCTCATTTTCAACGTCGTGGAGTTTGACGCATTAAATCTATCCCTTGCCATCCTAAATAACTGTGCATGAACATTGTACATGTCGAGCATATGTGTCAACTCCAACACCAATGCATCATGCAATTTTGTACCACCCTCACTCCTGTATTTGCAGGAACAAAGTAGATATTTTCATAAGAGATTAGCATTAATTATAAGTTTAACCATATAAAGCTTGTCATAATAAATAAATAAATAAATAAATAAATAAATAAATAAATAAATAAATAAATAAATAAATAAATAAATAAATAAATAAATAAATAAATAAATAAATAAATAAATAAATAAATAAATAAATAAATAAATAAATAAATAAATAAATAAATAAATAATAAATAATAAATAATAAATAAATAAATAAATAAATAAATAAATAAATAAAAAGATAAATAGATAAATAGATAAATAAATAGATAAATAGATAGATAAATAAATAAATAAATAAATAAATAAATAAATAAATAAAAATCATGGAACCGTCTTATTATTTATATAAAATTTTTTATGAAATTTTGAAATTAAAAATAGTATTTCTAAATGGGTAAAAATAACTATTCTAATTATTTAAGTAGACATCATCAGATGAAATTAGCATTATGTAATAACTCCATTCTTAAATAATTGCAACATGTTGAATTTTTACACTATTAACATGATCTACTTTGACTACGTTTTATTTATTCATGCATTAATATATATTCTTGAAAAAAAATTGTTAAATTTGTGTAATCGTGATTTTTCAAAATATAATTTTTTAATTTTTTTTACTAATAGAGAATTATTATAATAGTCAAAGTTGTGTCTCGGCAAATGTGAAATGTTGATTGTTGCATTTAATTACGAACGGAGGATGTATAAGTTTAATCATATAAAGCTTGTCACTAAAAAAAATTAAAAAATCATGGAACCAACTTATTATTTATTTATAAAATTGTGAAATTTTGTAGTTATCAATAATATAACTAAATGGGTAAAAATATTTAATCAATCTATTTACCTGACAACTTTAAGTCTATTTGAGGTTTCTTCACTTGGATCACATAAGTACATCTGCAAAAAATTGGGTTGACCACCGTCCCTTCGAAGAAGGCTACCAATTCTATGGTAGTTTTGTCCATTTATTCGAAATATTGGTGGTGTTTTCCCTGGATTAATGTCTTTGTCTTGTTTTCCTCCAATAGAAGTGAATGTAAACATTGCATTATATGTGCAGATGTTTTCGAGAAAATGACGGCTACGCTCGTCAGAACCAAATATCAAACTTTTTAAAGGTTTCGGTGGCTCTTTCATTGCAGGCACTCCAGGCAGCACAACATCTTCTTGATTACAACACAAGGAGAATCTTGGTGGTTTTCCTGCAGGACTTTTCTTTACTCTTTCTTCGTACCAAAACAAAGCACCACAAAATTCGCACTCATAAGATGAGTCCCCAAGATCTGCATAGGCTGAAAAGATTGGAATCTAAATTACTACACATAAGTCGCAAACATAGTCATGTGCTTGTTCAAGGATTCAATTGTTGACTCTTTTGTAATATGTTGTATTGCGCATATAGTATAAATATTTTGTTGGAAAATATAGGTATACACGTTCAAACTTGAATAATACCTTCACTTAAAAAACTCGCATATTCAACATCTTCTGTATGTCAAAAACATGGAAAAACGGTGTTAGCATTATGTGAAAATATACATACATACATACATACATACATACATACATACATACATACATACATACATACATACATACATACATACATACATACATACATACATACATACATACATACATACATACATATATTGAGAGTGTAAGGTTTATATTGGTTTATGCATGTAATGTTCAATTAAATTTAATGTTGAATTACGAACCATGGAATACAGGTTGCTCATGTGAGGAGGCACCGATAACATCGTTTTGATCGTCCTTTTGGTTGGCTTCTATACAGTTTGGAATTCACAAAATCATTATGCATTTGATTAACATCTATCAATGATGTTTTAATTTACTTAGATCTTAGGAAAATAGGTTAAAAAAAATCTAACCTTCATTAGTAGCATCACCATTAAAATCCTCCGTGGGATTCTTGTTACTTTCTGGGGGTTCGTCTTGTGATCGAGTAATACATGTCCCCATAACCGTGTAATCATCAGTTGGCACTATGATATTGCCAATTTGCCATTTATTGTGAACTATTGGAATTATACGTGTAACACTTTCGCGTACAATGCTCTCCTTCTGTTGGACTATTGAACAAAACAATATGATTCAATGCATGATTCTTATAATAATAGAACACATGGAGTAAGGTATTATACATAATTGCCGTTGGTGAGTTGAGTGTCTAGGTTTTCTCCAACATTTGTTCCTTCTTGAAGAGGATGGTCGTTACTATTCAACGACGGACTTGCAGATTGAAATGCATCTCGTGATCGTTTACCCAATATAGTAGTTGACTTAGTCAACTTCTTCATCTGCTTTATTAATGTCAACATTAATTCAATAGTCTTTAGTTTTTTCATTTTCATATTTTTTTGGACAATTCTAACCTATATAGTATCTGCTCAATGTTAATGCCAACATCCTTGAACTGCGATGAGATTCGAACCTGTGACCTCCTCTTTGGGAGTGCCACAGCGATGCCATCAGACCACAAGGTACTTGGCTTCATTTTCATATTTAAGAATATAAAACAGAATTTTTATCACAATTAGGAGGAATGAATTAAAAATAAAAAGTAATAGAATTAGACATAGATGCACATTAATGTAAGAAAATATGTTGAAAGGTTTGATTTTACACAAATTGATAATAGTTATCATACAAAATAAAAATTGTTTTCTTCTTTTTTCAATTTGAAATTATAAAGTATATTATTTATCGCTATCAGGTACCACGGGTTTTAAATTAATAAGACAAAGAACCTGAGTTAGAAGTACAAAAAATGTGAGAAATATTTAAAGAAATTATTTTCAATTAAATCTGTATACTGAAACAATAAAGGGAAAATGGAAACTAATAATCCAACCTTTTAGCACTCTTCTTACAATAGTCTCCGATCACCTTTTCGTTATTCATGAATAATCCAACCTTTGCACCTCATCTTCATTCACTGGTCCCTGACCGGTTGATGACCTGCCACTCCAAGTTATTTTCTTATCTTTGCAAACCATTATACCATAAATCTCACCTTTCACAAAGATAATATTTTGCAAAGATAAGAAAATAACTTGAAATAGCAGGTCATTAACCGATCAGGGACCAACAAATGAAGATGGGGTGCAAAGGTTGGATTATTCTTGAATAACGAAAAGGTGAGACTATTGTAAGAAGACTACTAAAATGTTGGATTATTAGTTTCCATTTTCCCAACAATAAATAGCTAATCTCCATTCGTTCTTCTAAAATTATTGGCTATACTTATTTTGTAATCTATTTGTGTATATAAATTCCAAACTATTGGTAGAATATTTGTTCCCAGTAATGAAACATTTAAAGCATGTATTAGGGTCTTTCATTAATAAAAAGTGGGCTACTGCAATGTCCATCACAGTGACAAACAAATACAGAGTCAAAGTCACACAATAATATGTTACTATCTATGGAGACAGCAGTAAGACTTGGTAGCAAAAGAAATTATGTGTGTATTCAAATACGCTTCATTTTAGGACTTCGATCCATGACCATGAAAGTAGTGCCGTTGATGAATATTTAAAATATTAAATTTGCTAATCACTATTCAAATGGAAAATTTGACATGCACTTCAAGTAATATTGATTTATGATGGGATAAAATAAATTTTGCCGATAATATGTGCGCTTATATATTACTCTGGAACATATACGAAGTAAATTTTATATATTCATAAACTATGCTAAAAGTCATACGGAGTATCGAAGAAGAGTACGTAACAAATTTATATACGGAGTAAAATAGTCGTATGGGAGAATAAAAAAAAATGAAAATCTGAAATTCAGACTTGGGAGTACTATATGTTCTTACCGTAGAAACGGCGAGTCTTGGATTCAGTCATGAAATTGGTAGCTCGTGCATTGGAATCATACGTATGTTTGTTGTCGATTGATAATTGTATTACTTACCGTCCATACATACTTCCTGCACGTAATATATAATTCCACCAAATAATATGTTGATGTTGAAATTCCATTTTATTTATTCTTTAATACTTTAATTATTAATTTCTCAATTTCATGATCAAAAAAATAATCTCTCAATTTCATTCAGTTACGGTTTTATTTTTTTTAAATAGGGCAAGTTTAAAATGAATTGATTACCTAATAGAGAGAATGTCTCTATTGTTCGGCTCACTTATTGATTACTAAATAGAGAGAATGTCTCTATTGTTCGGCTCACTTTTTTAGCTATTGATTTCAATTGTCAGATCTTGAACGTTATACTATATAGCAGCTCCCATAAAGGTAGCCTAAAAATTTAAAAGAAAAAGTCAATATTCGAAAACATCAAAGTAGGTTAAAATAGTCATGGACCCGGGCCGGGCCGGGCCCGGCCGGGCTTTTTTTTTGGGAAGGAAGGCCCGGGACCGGCCCGGGTAGCCACCGGGTCCGGTCCGGGTCCGGGCCGGGCCGGGCCTCCGGTTCGGTTATAATTTTTTTTTTTTTTGCTTTCCTAACCCCCCCACTCACCCCCCAACCCCCAAACCCCTCCTAACCATCAAGCCCAACCCAACTAACCCCAAAAAATGAAAAAAAAAATAAAAAAAAAAATCAATTCGGCCCGGGCCCGGGCCCGACCCGGCCGGGCCGGTTCGCCAAATACTAGGCCCGAGCCCGGACCCGCCCCCCCCCACCGAGCCTAGGCCCGACCCGGACCCGGACCCGAGAACCGGGCCGGTTCCGGGCCCGCACAGTGGCGGGCCGGGCCGGTCCCGGGCCGGGCCGGTCCCGGGCCGGGCGGCCCGAACCGGGTCCATGCCTAGGTTAAAAATAGGAAAGCTACTTTCTAGAGAAACTACTATCTAACGATAACATCAGCAGCATAGTTTTAAAGTAAATCCTAATTAGGGTCTGTTTGCAACAGCTTCTGTTTTTAAAAAAGTGCTTTTTTTAATGAAATGGAGAGAAGTGATTAAATAAAAGTTGATAGTGTTTGTGAAAAAAGTGATTTTGAAGAGTAAAAGTGGGTAGTGTTTGGTAAAATAAGTGCTTTTTGTGTAATAGAAAAAGTAAAAGCACTTTTGACGCGGAAGCTGAGGAAAATAAAAGTTGTAGTGTTTGGGAAAATAAGTGCTTTTTTAAAGCCAAAAACTGAGAAGTGCTTTTTTAAAAGCGGTTGCAAACCAACCCTTAATGTTAATAGCAACAACAATGTTGAAATAACAATCTGATGAAATAGTCATACTTGAAAAACAAAATACTCGAAACGCATAACAATTCAGAACAATGGAGTTGAGCTTCTTAGTAGCTAAACTTAAAACGAATAACAAACCCCTAAAGTGAAATAAAAATTTAAAAGTGGATAATAATTTATGGCTTCTCTATCTTGACCGATTTGAGCTTCTTAGTAGCTGAACCTCGAGTCAGTGGAGTAGATGCACCAACATCAAGTTCACAATCAATATCATCTTCAGAAGGTCGCTTAGACAATGATTGTGGAGTACTCACGACCTCTCAAAATCCTTGGAGATATGTGTCTACATTAATAGAACAATAAAAACTATGATTCCATTTTTTTACTAATAAATGAAATTGAAAAACAATCCTACATAACGTTTCTCGTTAACGTAGAAAGGCAAAACAGATCGCACAAACAGGAAAGAAAACAAAACGGGCCTCCACTTTTTAAGAAGAAACAACATAATTGTAAGCAAACTAATCTAAATACTATAGTACCAAAAGACTCTCTACCATACCGAAAACTTGATTTAATCTGAGACTATAATGAAAGAAGAACAGAACTTTACATTGCCATTGGTGTGAAGAAAAGTGGAAAAATCACTAATTAAAAAACTGGTGTGCGGAAAGTTGGGAGGAATTTGAAGGGGAAAAAAGAGCAATCTCGAAATCAACCTCACATAAGGTTTTTGAACAAAAAAGTAGTTGACATCAGGAGTGTTTCAATTTCCCCATTTTTTATCCATAACTAATCATCCTGAGAGGAAGGAAGATACTAATGCAAATATTTCGATGGTGTTATCATTATTGGTGTGCAATAGAAATGGGGATTTTCATTACTGTCATCATAAT